GAAACACGATGGTTCAAGGCTGGAAAATGAAGGGTCTCATACAAAAATTGGTGATGGGTGGAATTTAAAGACACAACTCTTCACCAAGGGTTTTAATCACCAAAAGGTAAGTAACCCTTCATTTGAAACCTCTTCTCTCCTCACATTTCAGGACCAACCATGTGAAAGGTCACTTCCAAAAGGGATATCCTTAAAAGAATATCATTCTCAAAAGGTACATGTTGGTAAATCATATTCCAAAGAAATACCTAAAGGGAAATCTTATGAAAGGATACCTAATGGAAGAACACAAACGTTCAAAGGATGCTTTCTTTTAGCAAGGAGACGTGAAGCTATGCAAGGACAGAATGAACTCGATTTGAGGACAAATCGCCCTAAAGAAGGGGGGATGATGCAAGCACATTTTATATACAAAGGGAGTACTCTTGAACATCTTTATACTGAATATACTTTATATTGTTTATATACTATATGCTTATATAATACATTTCATGATAAGAATACTTGTTATGTAGTTAAAGAATAATTATTATGAACACAACATGCACATTGATATTTAAGCATGTTAGGATAGCCTTATAATCATATTAAGCATGATTATCATATATACATCAAGGCAGTATCATTATAAATCATTTCATTAGTTCATATGCATTCATATTAGCTCTTAAGCTTCATGCATTATCTTACACATATTTTGAGATGATATAATTAGCTCATGATCTTCAAACATAGCTCACATTACCATAATCATACATGGCAGCAAGGTATTTAGCTCATATCAGCTCAATATCATGGACTTACCTTGTTTCCTTGCACATGTAGGTACATTGGAGTGTGATGCATGTTGAGGTAGCTTGGTGGATAATTTGGATGTCATTTGTAGCTCACAGACAGCTCACAAAGTACATGGCAGCTCATGGAACACTAAGGAAAGCTCGATTCAGCTCGAGGAGCTTAAGGCTAGCTAAACTCAGCTAGTTGGACTATTTCGAGCTGAGTTGCCAAAAAGTGATATCAATGGTAGCTAAATGTAGCTGAACATGTTATTATGGAGTTCACAAGGACTCGGCTAGGAAGCTTGTTCATAAACAGGCCCCATGCTTGCTAGCTAGCTCCACACTCAACCTAGCTTGGAAGGAGACACATACACGTCCAAGATGGAGCACATGACCAGCCATCATTCCATGCACAAGGCTGCACCACAAGGTTCCCTAGAACACCCATGTGCTGCCATATGACCAGCCCCTATGTGCCTTGCATGTGGTCTCATTTAGGCGCCAAGATGAAGAGCCTCTCCCTATTCGGCCAAGCATCATCTCCCATCCAATTCGGCGCCAACATGAAGGGACACATCAGCTATTAGGCCAAGGGTTATTACCCTCCATTTAAACTGAACCATCATCTCTATTTTGTAATTAAATTATAACTCTATAGGAAGGCACAAGGCTGGCCGAATCCCCTTGTAATCATTCGGCCATGCCTCTCCATTTCCTATAAATAGGAAAGCATATATCATTTGTATTAAGACCTTTTTGATTAATACAAGTAAGATTATTCTCTTTCTTAAGTCCCGGCGACTTTTATCGACTTATCAAGTATTTTTATACTTGTGGCGTCAATCCCCTTCCCCTTGATACTTCTGGTTCATAGTTCTTATAACTAGTGGGTCAAAGTCCTTTATACCACCCCTTAAAGAAGCAATATAAAGTCTGGGTCTTTGCTCTCTATAGCATCGGTTCTTCTTTGAGTCTTCTTTAAGATATTATCCTCACAACCATCCCATTGTTTCATTAACCAAACTCATAGCCATATCAATCATCTTGCGCTTCCATCTCTCATTTATTAAATAACCTACCTATTCACCTATACGTTTACCACCCTTAAACATCTGTTTTGAGCCATTCACTTATGTAGGTTGTTTTGTTTCCTTACTAGATCCACAATCAATTGAGAAGGTACAAGTGCCTTACATCATCTCTACTCTTTCAATTGGTGTTAAGAATGGATCAAAATGTTCCTTTAATTACAGAGACGCAAAGGTGTCTCAACACTCTCAACTGATAAAAGAAGAAACTCAACCTCGATGACGTTGCAGGATGTGAACACCCCTATGTATACACCTATGCTTCTCAATCACCTATGATATTTATATTATCACCTAGTCACTGGTAAGTGATTGTTTAACATCTCAGTGATGTTTTCTACTTTGATTTTGTGAATGTCTAAGGAACGACAACCTAATTTAAGTTAAAGAAAGGCACAACCGAAAATGTAAAAAAAAACTAAACATTTTTGGTTGAGTGCAACCTACAATGTTAATTTTTTAACATTTGTGCAACCTAAAATATTAATTTTTTTAACATTTTCGATTAACAACTGGAAATGTTAAATGTTACATTCTTCATAACATTTTCGATTGAAAACGAAAATGTTAAAACTTAACATTTTAGGTTGTATAAATAATATTTTAGGTTGTGCTCAACCGAAAATGTTAAAATATTTTTTAACATTTTCGGTTGCTCCATTTCATAGCCTTAAATAAGGCCGCCATACTACATAACTACTCCTTAATTTTCCATTAGAGGAGGACTTAATAAACAATGAAAGTTTATAATGACATTTTAATGATGCACAAGGTTGGGCGGAACCTCGCGAGACCAAGGCAATTAATATTAAAAAATATATTTTTTTAAAAATAAATAAAGAAAATTTTATCAAGCAACCTCAATTTAAAAAATGTATTTATGAAAAATAAAAAATACTTTAACCCTATATAATAAATTATTAGTTCTGCTCTTGAGGGTGATAATATTGTCATAAAATTAAATTACACGACTAAATACCCTTTAACTTACAGTATTTGAAATACCAATCAAGCTTCATTTCTTGTAACAAATTACTCCTCCCATTAATTTTATTTTATGTAGATGATGCGCATAATTTTAGAAGATAAATTTAATCTTATGTCAAGTTATATAAAATGAATGAAATGATAAAATTATCTCCAAAATATAATAGATACAAAATCTAAAAGAGACAAATTTAATGGAAAAAAGGAAATATTTAGAAATGTCACACTTCCACTTCTATTTATGTAATTTCAATACAAGAGAAGTAAATACATATGGTGATCTTGTAAAATGAAAATAGAATTACGAGTGAGTTAAACTCGACTCAATGTTAAAATATTCTACTTAACTTAATTTGACTCGTAATTTCATAAATTCGACTTCATTTAAAAAAATAAATAAAGTTTGAGTAATTAAATATGACTCGAATAACTCAAATTTTTTAGTAATTGGTGGATTGATTTTTAAGTTCGAGTCGAGTCTCTTTACTCTGCATGATATATGTATATCATATACAATTATAAAAATTCGTTTAAATTTAAATTAATTAGTACAATAACATTATAAACATTTACAATTAAGTTTGAACAGAAAATCGAACTACTTAATTAGAATTTCATAAAATTGACTCGACTCTAAAAAATTAAAAATAAAATTTAAGTTGTAGAATAGAACTCGTAAACTCGACTCAACAAATACTCAACCCTAAATAGAATAATTTAACTAAACAAGCACTTAACTTATTATGGGTAAATTACAAATTTCATCACTGAACTCTGCTCTCTCTCTAATTTACTCACTGAACTTTAAAAAATTTCAATTTCCTCACTAAACTTAATACATTAGGGTATTTTGGGCATTGAACTTTACTCTATCTCATATTTTGGCCACTCAGTCGTTAAATAGTTAATGACATTAAAAACGACGTCGTTTTAAAAAAACAAAATTTTTACCAAAACGATATCGTTTTGCATCTATATACAGCTCAATTTAACGTCGTTAACTATTTAATGAGTATGTCACCAAAAAAAATAAATGTATTACGTTCAATGAGAAAATTGAAAAGATTTAAAGTATAATGAGCAAAATAGGAAAGAGAGTAAAGTTCAATTATCAAATTTGTGATTTACCCATTTATTATTTCTTCATGGTATAAAATTTCTTAAGACATGGATTGAACGGGAAAGTATTAAAATATAGAATATTATTAGAATTAAAATTAGGATGAAATAAAATGAAAATTTTAAAGATTAAATTTATTATTATATAATAATTTTTGGATAAAGTAAACAAATGATTCCCTATTTATAAGATATTATTTTATTGAGTCTCTCGATTATTAAAATTTATAAAATGGTCCCCAACTATTGGAAGTTCCTTTGTTGAGTTCCTCGACTATTAAAAGTTACAAAATAATCATTGACTATTTATTATGTTTCAAACTAGTATTTTTCCATTAAAAATTTAACGGTAGTCTGAGTTAGACGTTAACTTGCTGACTGAGATATGATAAAATTTGATCTCATAATCTCAAATGAATATCCTATCTTATTCAACATTTTAGTGTATAGCGTAGACAACTGTTAATTTTTTAATGAAAAAGAACGAGTTTGAAATATTATAAACAATCAGAATACAATTTTATAACTTTTAATAGTCGAGAACTCAACAAAATAGTATCTATAGTGACAATACCATTTGTGAACTTTACCCTAATTTCTATTAGGGTAAACTACGCCAGATACCACCGTACTTTAGGCATTGTATCATTTATACTATTGGACTTTAAATTTTTCCAATTATATCACTGAACTTTGATTTTTTATTTCAATTATACCATTGAGTCGTTAAATCGTTAACATTCGGACCAAAACGACGTCGTTTTAGTGAGGTGTCCACATAAAAATCCGTCAATGTCATCATCGTGCCATTAATTATTTAACTGTTCAGTGGTATAATTGAAACGAAAATCAAAGTTTAATGTTATGATTGATAAAATTAAAAGTTCAGTGGTATAAACAATATACTGCCTACAATTTGGTGGTATTGGGTGTAGTTTACGCTTTTTATTATTTTACCAAAACAAATACATTTTGCAAGAACAAAAAGTTAACGGGATCACGCGATTGCGTGCGAGTCATCCATACTGAAATATCGAGTCTTCACTTTTCTCGTCTGTATATATACAATACACAGCGAAGAAAAATGCTCTCTTTACTGCTAAAGCAAATCCATGGAAGACCTAGACTTCTTTAAGAATGTTTTACTCTCTGATGATGATGAAAATGTAAGCACCTCTTATCATAATCAATATATTTTATATTTTTTGTTGACTAGACTTCCTAAAACCAGATCATATTGTCTTGTTCTTTTTGTTTATCTTGCGTATTTACTTTGTGCAGTTCCTCAAATTATCTTGAACTCACTCTTTTTTGTTATAGATCGATGTGAAAACTTAATAATCTACATATTTTAGGATAACCCAGGTATGATTTTCAAGATGTCTTAGGGTTTGTGAATAGAAATTGAAGCTCTACTTGAATTTGGTAGCATTGGTGTACTGTTCAGGTTTGAATTAAAATTATCTTGTACCTACTCTTTCTTGTTATAGATCGATGTGAAAACTTAATAATCTTCATATTTTAGGATAATCAGATATGATTTCAAGATGTCTTAGGCTTTGTGAATAGGAATTGAAGCTATACTTGAATTTGGTAGCATTGTTGTTCAGGCTTGAATTAAAATTTGTTGCCTTTCTAGGATTGGGGATCAAAGTCTCAGGGGCCACAGTGGGAACTTTCACAGCTCTCACGCTGGCCTCAAAGCAATATTAAACCTGGAACAAGCAATGAGGTAGTCCCAAACCAGACTAATGCAAGCACAACTCAAGCATCCCATTCTCTAACCATTTCCAACCCATGTCTTTCGAAAAGAAACTTATCGAGTTCATTGGAATCTGAAAGAGCTGTGAAAAAGAATAAGGATAAGGCATATCGGGAAAGATGTAAGGTGACTGCCCTAATCCTTTTCATCTCATTTCTCTTGCAAGAATTCAGGTGCAGTTTAATATGCATTAGGAAAAAGGGTCTGAATTTCATTCAATATTTGTTCTGATTTTTTTTTCTTCATACCTAAATTAGAATGTAAACAAGGCTAAATTTGAACTTTAATTTTTTCAGCTTGTATGAAATTTAACTTTTGATTTTCTTAATCTAAATATGCCTATACACAGATCTAAAGAGTTGTATTCAAAGTGTTGTTTAATGAAAGTAGAAATTACAAAATGAATCAAATCAGACCATAAATATTCTAGTTGATTTTGTTCAGTACGATATTTTCATTCAAAATTTATTTCTATCAAGACTTCTCTGCCAATATTTATTCCTTTTTCCTTTTTGAGTAGGTCAAGAAAGAGGCATCAGAGTCTAGAGGTTAAGTGTGAGATTAAGAAGGGAGTTCTAAGAGTTGAATCGCAATGTACATGACGATTTCATTAGTTTCAATAATACGTCATTTTCCCATTTGTTCTTTCTACACAGAATCAGAAGGTGGAAATGCAATTTCATTTGGAGATGCTCACTGGAGAAAATGAATCTTTAAAGAAAGAGAATGTATCCTTAAAAGAGAACAATGCTTTGATGAATAAAACTTTGATAGATCAAGCAAAAGAGATTGATCGCTTGAGGACTGATTTTTTCCAGTTGAAGCACAAGAATGATAAGCAAAATGTTCTCGTGCAAACACTTTCGGAACTTTTAGTAAGTCTCCACTTCACTCTCTACTCTCAGTTAGGGTTGTAAATGAATCGAACTTGAATTAACTTAGAAAATATTTATTAAAGTAGTACTAGAAGTGTATTTTTTTTTCCTTTTTTCAAATTAGAATCAAGTACAAACTACTACTCTCATAACATTTGTTACTCTCTTACATGTTAGAGCTTAAATATGAATCTATGTTGGTATAGATTTTTAACACAGTTCTTTTTATTGGAGGCTGATCCAGTGCGGCTTGAAAATGAGAAGCTAAAAGACGAAAATGCTGCATTGAGGAAGAATGTCGATCTTAACAGTCATCTAACACAGCTTGTGGAGGAGAATGCAGAACTAAGAACTGAAAATAAGGTACTCAAGGTGCAGAATGATGCTTTATGTGGGAAGATTATTAGTGACAACGAGAAGAAGCAAGAACAGATAACCCTAAACTAAAATACTAATTCAAGATATTCACTTTTTTGTTCTTTCTCGATCAACAATATGTGCTATATTTATTTCTTAGCACATCTCATTTCTTTGCCACACTTTCTGCTCATCTTGGGGCCATATGTTTGGCTTTCTTGTACTTGTTCTTGACCTGTCTTCTTCTTTCCATAATTTCGAGCTAGATCTTCTATCAATATTCTCCTTGATCTCCTCTCTCTTGCTCTTTTTCAGCCATATATGTCTTCTGAACATCCCCCTTACCATTCTCACTTGTCTGCAACTGTTGTCTTGTATTCCTTTTAATGTCAGCCAATCTTCAAGATTACAACGGTGAGTCTCAGTTGTGTTAATAGTGTGGAGGTGGTTGGCTAGGATTTTGTAATTAATATGCCATCTCTTGTTGTTTTATGTATTATCATGTTATACGTAGGTACATGGATGGTCCAAGGGGAACAAATAGGGGCGGTCGCTCCTTGAAAATTTCAAATTCTATTTTCTTTATATTTTTATTGATAGTATGTTTTCGTCTCCTAAAATATTATAGGTTCACCCGTTTAACATAAAATTTTGTGTTTGTTCCTGCATAACTAGTGGAATTTACAAACTGTATCATGCTCCTGTGGAATATTTTATTTTTCTCACAAAATGTTTGCAGTTCGAAAATAGAAAGAGATCTCAAGGATTTGGATTCCAAATTGGAACTTGTTGAATGTCATTTTCAAGGGTTATTGAGTCTTTGGTCGTTCAATGTACTAGAATCTCTTAATATCAAGAAAGCAGTGTACCAACAAATATTATGCCTGATAATGTATGTTCGAACTGTGAAGATGATATAGTCAGTGACACAGCTAGGGACGGCTAGAATCAAATATTGGGAGGGACAAGGTACTTAAGTTTAAAATAATAAGGATTTATTATGTATTTAATCTAAAAGTTGGAAGTGCAAAAGTTTAATTTTACTTAAATTTAAACTGATAAGGATCTATGCTCCTCTCACTCTCTACATAGATTGGTCCCTGGATGTAGTTATAAATTTTGAATATAAATCATAAAAATAATTATCATAAAACGAATTAAATTGAACTAAATAAAAAATAAATTATATAAAATTCGTTCAACCGTGTAAATTTATATCCATGAAACTTTATATTATAAATTCATATGCGATTTTGAAATGTATAGGATTTAAATTGCGATTGCTTATGTTTATTGTGGTTACGGACATAATAAATATTATTGTGGTCATTGTGGGTATTATAGTCGTGATTATTTTTAAATGAGTTGATTTTTTTTAAATGAGCTGATTTTTTTAAAAAAAAATTAGAATTTTGTAACAATAGTGGGAATCACGGCTTGCAAAAATATAATATTTTTTAAATAAATTGAATTATTTAATTATGAAATGATATATGTTTAATTATGTGAGATAAGTAAAATTTCATTTGACTCGAAAAAAAATATAATATTTTTTAAATCAATTGAATTATTTTATTTTTCAAATCAAATTATTTGACTTTTCAAGTTGAAATTAAATAATATTTGAATGAATCGAATTACAAATTTATATAGATACTATTTGAGTTGAACAATCCTAAACACATGTAAATTGGTTTCTGTTAACAAAAACTACAAAAAAAGTCTTTAATATATATATATTTCAAATATTTTATAAAATTTATAAAAGATTAATATATAATTCTTAAAACCCTTTAAAATTCTAAGATATGTTAGAAGGCAAAGTTTTAAAATTGTTATAAAATGATAAATATGAAGTCTAAAAATAAATTATTAAAATTAAAGTATCTTATACTTATTTTACTTAAAAAGAGTTTTCAAATATATACAACTTTAAATTTATATGCACTAACTTGGAGTTTAATCATATTGTTAATTTGAACTACTTTTTTAATATGATTTGAATGGAATTTTATTTTGCTCTACTCTATTTTTAAAAAAATTAAATTGAGTTGTGACAATAAAATGTGACTCGTCAATTAGACTAACTCAATTTTTTTAATTTTTTATACAAAAAAAGTACACTTGATTTGTTCAAATACTCACCGTATTACTATTTTTAAGGGTACACTACATTGGTGGTCCCTTTTGTTTCAGTATGTCTTATTTTGGTAAGTGGTTTTGAAAAAAATTATATTATTGTCGCTTTTGTTTTTGATCTATGTTATTTTGATCATTGATCTATTAAGACTCGCTAGTTTGATGACATGATATGTTAGTAAAAATATTTAAATTTTAACTTGACCCCAAAATTTTAGATAGAATACTAATTTGACCTTTAACTTTAGATAAAATACTATTTTTGACCTTACAACTTTAGATAAAATGTCAATTTGACCCCTGAATCTGATCAAAATCCCCAATCATTGGCCACTGCTATGATTGGCCACCGCTAACCACCATTATCGGTCACCATCGAATTTCGTCGCTAACGACCATTGATCCCAAAATTTCAATTTCATTCCTTTGTGACATCCTAAATGAGTATCTCGTGTCCGCTTTGTAAGAAAATGCCCAAACTCCACAAACATAATGTAGAACCCTTCTATTTAAAAAAAATAAACTCATTATATTCTTTTAAAATTAAGGACAATATAAATATAAATATATATCATTATACGTTCATATTAATGTAATAGTTTAATTTATATATATATATATATATATATATATATATATATATATATATATATATATAATAAGTTGTATATTACATGTAGTTTCTATTTTTATTTTTTCAGTATTTCATGTATTGTATAAGGTACTTTATGTGTAAGTTTTGTCTCCATTAAATTAAAATATAAAAATGAAAAAATAAATGTTATAAGATAACGATGTGCATAATGATCGTCCAACAAAATATACATTAAGATTTTAATTGAAAACCCTTTCGTGAAAAATCATGGGCAGAAGAGGAGAAAATTCACAAATGTCGTGAGAAGAAAAAATACAAGATGAGTCCTCATGGACAACCTAATCTTTACTCTAATCCTTAGAATCTATTTATAGGGATAAACACTTGATTACAAAGGAAACTTATAAAGTAGAAATTTACTCAAAGTAAGTTTTCTACATAAAAGAAAAAAAATCGACTTATAATCAAACTAGGTTTATTACTTTCCAAAATTTATATATTAATTAATTTGTGTCACTTTGAATTTGAGTCAAACTTTAATAAATCTCTACATTGACACGAATTCTGAAGTGTGAAGGTTTTGAGACAAAATACTCAAATTCAATGAAAACCCAAACTCAACAAAAACAATTATTCACTTTAACGAACAAGTTCTCCACCTTGAGAACATGTTATCCACTTCTTCCACAAAACTCCTTAGAGGGGTATTTATAAACAATGATTGCCAATTGAATCTAAAGTCTGTCCAAAATTGAATTTATTCTTCACATTGGTAAGAAAATTATAAGGGCTAACTTTGCGCACAACTTGTTCACTACAACCAATATGCACAACGTCATCCCAATCATCAATGTCAACTCTATCTTTTTCGTTATGCTCACAAAACTGAATTTTCTTCTTTTTGAATCTATTATGCCCACAGAACCAAACTCTCTTTTTATTTTCAAATCCTTTATGCCCACGGAATAGACTCCTTTTCTGCTCTCAAAAATTGTTATGCACACTATCATTTTGTCCAAACCAAAATCCTCATTTGCCACAAAGAAGAAAATAATATATTTTCTATTATTGTTAAAACCTTCATAATATAAAACTTAACAATCTTTTTCCGTCTTTTCATCAGAATAAGAGAACTCTTACAAATTTACGTACCTCTACCTTTCACAACGTTAATCTGGTATTGTGATCCAACTGTGAAATTACATACTTCAAAGATGTCATTATCGTGATCGAGTCAAACAATCTGGACGCTCTGATACTAATTGTTAGAAGGTAACAACATGAATAATAATCGTCAAATAAAATAGACACCAAGATTTTGCGTGAAAAACGCTTTCGGGAAAAACCACAGACAAAAGAGGAGAAAATTCACTAATGTCGAGAGAAGAAAAAAAATACAAGAGGAATCCTCATGAACAACTTAATCTCTAAATCTAATCCTTAGTATATATTTATAAGGATAGATACTTGATTACAAAGAAAAATTAAAAAGTCAAAATCTACTCAATGTAGGTTTTATACATAAAGGAAAAATAAAAATTTGTACTTCTAATTAAACTAGATTCTTACTTTTTCAAATTTATATATTAATTAATTTGTATCACTTTGAATTCAAGTCAAACTCTAAAAAATTCTTATTAGGAATTTAAGAGCGAAAAAATAACCAAAGTGATATCAGCATAAAATAAGACATGCACAAGAGACAAGATTTAACGTGGTTCGGCCTTGTCTACCTCCACTGATGAGATGAACGATAATCCACGATAAACATAGAGAACACGAAGAGTAAAAGTTCATGATATCACATATATCCCAAAACCTAGTATAGATACCAAAACCCAATATATCTAAAAAACTCTTAATATTCCTACAAAACTAGCTCTGCAACATAAATCTCAAAAGTTGTGGAAATCACAAAAAATGATTACATATCTCCAACTCTCTCACATATTCTAAAGGCTAAGACATTATCTCTATTTATAGAGTCAAGTACTTGGCCACCAAAAATTCTTATTCATAAAAATTATTGTCAAAAATAAATATTTAATTTATTAAATAAATCTAATTATCAAGTAATCTTCGACCATTAGAATTACAATAAAATTCAATATAATTATCAATTATAATTTGGGTCAAAATATAAAATAAATTTATATAAATTAAATTATATATTATAATTTGTATTAACCAATAAATATGATATTATTTTCAATCAATGAATTTAAAGATAAACGTCAATGGTGTGAATTTTTAATGAAGTTATATTATAAATTTAAGGGTACAAATTTTTAATATAGTGATCCTATGCTGTAAATGATTAAATGAATGAAAAATAATTTTCGATATCACATATGTTTGCATATTCACCGATAGAAAAAAAATCAATGCCAACGCACTGTAGATTGTCTATTTTGCCTACATTGATCAAGCAAAAAATATATATTCTTTTATTTTATTTATCTGAAAAGAAAATCAGGAACCCTTTAAAGAATACTAGAAAAAATTTACATGTAATCGTATCAATCTTACAGGTAGATTTTGATAAATTATATATTATAATTTTATCAAACTTATAACAAATTATAATATATAATTTCTCAAAAATTATATAAATTAAATTATTTTCATTATAATATAAACATATTATGATATAGATATAGATTATGATATATATATATATATATATATATATATATGTCCTTATTTTGAAAGTAACGTAATGATAAATTAATTATTATGGTTTATTTTAAAAGGAATTTGAATGATTCTAGACTAGGTTTATGAAGTTCAGGGCATTTCCCAGTGAAACATACAT